CCCCCCCCCCCAAAAAAAAAGTTCAAGGCTAGCCTGGGCTATATGAAATTTTGTCTCAAAAACAAAACAAAACAACAACATACACACACATCCCTAAAAAAAAAAAACCAAACCTTCAAGGACCTATTTTGTTAAAAATCTTTCTTAATTCATAGTATGTTTCTATAAAAGTGCATCCTAGGAAATAAATACACTCACTAATGTACTAGAAATGAAAACAAAATGTTCAAGGGGATGATATTCAGAGCTTACAACAAAGATCATCACAACCGTCAAAGAGGAATCAATCAAGGACTCCGCAGTCTCAGTTCCCAGAAAGGAGGCGGAGATAGGAACTGATAAAGGATTGAATGCAAGCATTTCACCAATCGCCGAAGGCAAGCACAGACATGCGAAGAGCTGAGTTCACATTCGGCTCTGATGAAGAAATGAGAGGCCAGTCCGTGGGAACCAGTAACAACAGAGTGAGGTGCAGACAGGTGTCGGGCAGTGATTTATACAGAGCGTGAAGTTAGAATAAATGGAGCCACAATTTTCGGCCTAACTATGACAAATGGATGGTGGTGTAACAAGAAACCTAATGTCCTCTGGTTGTGTCCTTGTCCTGTAGGATCCCAAGTCAAAGCCTTCGAAACCTGCTCTAAGATGTTCCCCTCTGACACAAGATTTCTTGTTCGGTTTTTATTTAAAATGTGTATATGCCACATGTGTGTGGGTACCTGAAGAGGCCAGAAGAGGGCGTCAGATTCACTGAACCTGGAGTTACAAGCAGTAGTGAGGCCCCCTGATGTGGATGTTGGGAACTGAACTAGGGTTCTCTGCAAGAGCAGCCATGATCTTAAGCACCGAGGAATCTCTCCAGCCCTTGTCTGTTTGGGTTGTTTTGTTTTTAAAAACTAAGGGTTTACTTATGTTTCTCTGTGCATGTGACTGTAGGTACCCTCAGAGGCCAGAGGCATTAAATCTCCTATGAGCTGGAGTTACAAGAAGTTATGAGTCACCCACTGTGGGTTCTGGGAATTAAGTTCAATTTCTCTGTAAGGGCAGTGCTCACTCTTTTTTTTTTTTTTTTTTTTTTTAATTTACTTTATTTTTTTATGTGCATTGGTGTATGCATGTATGTCTGTGTGAGAGGGAAGAGTGTCAGATCTTAGAGTTACAGACTTAGCTGCCATGTGGGTGCTGGGAATTGAACCTGGGTCCTTTGGTAGAGCAGTTGGTGCTCTTAACCACTGAGCCATCACTCCAACCCCGTTGTTTTTTGAGATGGGGTCTCTCTATGTAGCCCTGGCTATCTTGAAGCCCGATATATAGACCAGGCTGGCCACTAACTCAGAGATCCACCTGCTTCTGCCTCCCAAGTGTTGGGATGGCAGGCATTCACCGCCGTGCCCAGCCGTTGCTGTTTTTTTGAGACAGTCTTGTGTAGCCCATACTGGCTTCAAACTCAGCATGAAGCCAAGGATGACCTTGAGCTGACTTTCCTGTCCCACCTCCAAGTGCTGATTTCCAGGTGTGGGTCGTCATGTCCAGCTCAAGTCTGTTTTCTCCTATATAAAAAGGGAGGTGCAGGCGGGTGGTGGTGTTGCACACCTTTAATCCCAGCACTCAGGAAGCAGAGCCAGGCCGATCTCTGTGAGTTCGAGGCCAGCCTGGTCTACAGAGCAAGATCCAGGACAGGCACCAAAACAACACAAAGAAACCCTGTCTCAAAAAAGAAAAAAAACAAAAGAGGGTGGGGGAGATGCTCCCACAGCGTTGCAGCTCCTCACCTTACCTCTTCTGCTCCCCCTCTGGACCTGCATGTGGGAGTCCTTGGTGCTTATTCTAGGGATGGGGATTGAATCTGAGATACTGGGACAGACGAGCAATAGGAAGCAGGCTCCACCCCAACTTTCTACTCCCAGCACGCATCTGGCCCAGGGCTTTGCCCCCTGGTGGGTGGGGCAGAAGTCGGGTGGTGGGGGTAGGGGTGGGAAAGATCTTCTAAGAAGGCTGCTGGGCTGTTAGGAGCGGTAATTGCTCCGCACTCCCACCCACCCTCTGCTTGTCTTCTAGAAACTTCTTTTTTTTTATTCTATCTGATTTCACCCCACACTTTCTCTAGAGTCCTGGCGACTAAAAGCCAAGCTATTTTTAATTTATCTAGGTGGTGACTCCGGGCTGGGACACCCACCACCCCATATCCCATGTCACCCTAATTGACATGGTGGGAAGATAGACTCAGGTCAGAAGCCTTTGCTAGAGACTTGAGAGGAAAAGCAAGGATGGACATGCTGTCGGGGATGGAGACACAGGGCAGAAACAGCAAAAGGGGGCACTTGGAGACTACCCGGCTTGGGGCAGTTTGATCTCTGGGCAGATTGCTCCCACCAGCTCAATCCTGTATGTTAACGCTTCGGGCGGTGGCTCTCTGTCCTGGGTGTCCTGGTGGCTTCAGGGATTCTGACACATCGGGACACCCAGAGGCCTCAGCGGGGCCGTTGTTAAGTGTACCTTCATCCTTTTGCCCCATCACTGGGCACTTCAAATGTGCCAGACAGAAGACACTGGTAACCTGGGGCCTGGCAGAGGACAAGAAGAAATCATGGGTTTCCTGGGGGCCCCAGTAAATACCACTGAGCTACTGTGTCTGACCCAGTGGCAGAGGGAGAGCTGGGCTGGACAAGGCAGAACAGCCTGGGCTCCTGGGAGGAGGCTCCCTCTGGGAAGAGTTGGTAGCGCCTTTGGCTTGATGAGCCTTTCTGGATCCAGAGAAGTCCTAGGCCGGGTGGGGCGGCGGGAGAGCGGGTACAGAGAGAACCTCTCCCGTCTGGGTGTTGAGGACTTGCCTACTCTACAAATGTAGGAAAGGGGGAAGACAGCCGCACCCCCAGCCTACGTGGGGGCAGGGCAGGAGGAGACTGGCCCAGCCTTAACAGCTTTGCCCTTAGGGCAGGGGTCTGTGCCAGGTGTGGGTGTTGGATGGAAAGGGTGGAGCTGAACCACCACCCGCCTTTACTTAAGTCCCCTTTTGCAGCCCTCGGCCTCATCGCTTCTGTACTGCTGTGACAGCCATGTCTGGGAGCTCCGTGAGTGTTTTGAGGCTGGGTGGGCTAGGGTGGGGCCGGTCGGGAGGTCTGGCCTTCTGGAAGCCTCCCCTGCCCAGCCTCAGGAGAGCTGAGTGCTGCCTGTCTCTTGGGTCTCCCCAGCTGGTCCTGGAGGTCGTCCCCAGGCTGGCTTCCCTTTCTTGTAACTGTTCTGTCCATCCACGCCTGTCTCTCTGCCTCTCCTCTAATCTGCTTGTCTTCTGTCCTGTCCCTGGAGTTCCTAACTGGGGCTGGCTCATCTGTTTCTTTGTCTCCCTGGTTCTCATCCCCGCCCCACCCAAATCTTTCAGGCCACCCACCACAAGACCCCCCTGCTTCAGGGTCTCCGCCCCGGCACCGTCATGAGAATTCGAGGTGTCGTCCCTGAACAGGCTGGCAGGTGACTTCCTGGGTTCTAGGGCAGGGTGGGGGATGAAGAGGAGATGCTCTCCTGGCTAAGTGGATCGTTTCTTACAGCCTATACATGGGGTCCCTGGGACCTGTTCTGTCAAGTAGGGTCTTTAACTGCCTGTTGCTATCTTAATTTGGATGAATTCACTGATGTTCCCAAAGACTTCGTAGGTGGATGCTCAAATCTCCCTAAAAATTTAGGGTTCTAGGGCAACCTCAAGAATCCCTGGTCAGTCCTAGAGCTCCATGTCCCATTTTTCAGGCGCCTGAAAATCTGCCTTGGGTCTTGACACCAGAGTACCCGGTCATCAAGCCCATGGTCTACTAAAATTGGGACCTCAGACTTTGTGGGAGTATTGGTAATCTAGAATAATAGGGTCCATGCTACCAGGCCTGCGTATCTGGGGTGGGATTCCCTGTAATCAGGAACACAGCCCACCGATCACACCAGAACTCCAGGACAGCTCCAGCGTCTGGAAATGAGGCTATAAACACAGGGACTCTGTGTGGGTGGATGTGTGCCCAGGGAACCATATAAACCTTCGCATGGTGGTTGCTGATCTCTGAGGCCTACTGTTCCCGGCAGGTTCCACGTAAACCTGCTGTGCAGCGAGGAGCAGGGGGCCGACGCCGCCCTGCACTTTAACCCGAGGCTCGACACATCCGAGGTCGTCTTCAACACCAAACAGCAAGGCAAATGGGGCCGCGAGGAGCGGGGCTCGGGCATCCCCTTCCAACGCGGGCAGCCCTTTGAAGTGCTCCTCATAACCACAGACGAAGGCTTCAAGGTGCGTCTTGGAAGGGGAATGGGTCAGACCCAGGTCTAGAGCAGTGAGCTACCGTGAGTGTGGGAGGAAAGTCCTTGGGGTTCTGGAACCAGGGCCCGGGCCTGGCGCGGACCTTCTCTCCTGATCTGCTCTTCAAAAGCCAAATGCCCAAGGGGCGGGTGTCCCAGCAGGTGTTGTGAACACAAGTCGCTCTCCCTGTTGCTCTGAGACCAACATCCAGTATCAGATACTGGTAGGGGTCTTGGATGAGACCTCTCACCCACATCATTCCCACCTTCAATCCCCGTGGCCATAGATGGACGCTCAAATCGAGGTGGTGACATCAGCAGCCCACACTCAAGAAACACCTTTGTCCTGAGTGGATTGGAACTGAACTCACTGTGTCCCATTAAAATGGACAACAGACCCATTTTCCCTCCGATGAGAGAGAGGCTCGCAGTGGTTAGCGTTTTTTCCCCAGTCGTGGACCGCGATCCGATCCGCATCTAGGCCTAATTTAAGCTTTCCCCATGCAGGCAGTGGTCGGGGACGAAGAGTACCTCCACTTCAATCACCGGATGCCACCCGCGAGCGTGCGCTTGGTGGAGGTGGGCGGAGACGTGCAACTGCATTCTGTGAATGTCTTCTGAGCCAAGGGCGTCGGGGTGGGGGAGGATCGCAGAGGAGGGTGTGGATGACGAATAAAGTGTAGCTGTAGTTCCCGACTGTGGCTGTGTCCTTTATGTGTGGCTGAAGAAACTGAGACTCGGAGAAAAACAGTGATCCAGGGTCACAGTGAGCCTGTGTCGGAGACGCATCTCCTGCATGGCAAGGAGGTAGCTGAGCCGAGGCCCAGCGGTTTCCTTCGGGGAGCACCTAGGTGCTGGTGCTGGTTTGGGTGGGGGAAGGGTAAAAAACAGTCTGTGTAGCCCAGGCTGGCCTCAGACTTGCAGCCATTCCTTTGCCTCAGCCTCTCAAGTGCTGAAAGATTACAGGGGTGCACTATCACACCAATTATTTTGTAACTATTTGTGTGCGTGTGTGTGTGTGTGTGTGTGTGTGTGTGTTACATGCACATGAGTGAAAAAGGTGTCCGATTCCTTAGAGGTGTTGTTACAAGCAGTTGTGAGGTGCCCAGCGTGGGTGCAGGGAACCGAACTCTATTATCATGCAAGAACATCAAGTGCCCTTTACACAGGAAGCTGTCGTGTCCCGGCGGCCTGCCGGCATTTGGAGGTACCCTTTATGTGACACTATGTCATCTTTACAAAGGTCACCAAATGTTTGCTTTTGAAAAAGGAGAAATGCTGGGCATGGTGGCTCATGCCTGTTAGCTCAGTATTCTGGAGGCTGAGGCAAGAGAATTGCCCTGAGTTGGAGGCGAGCCTGGGATCCGCACAGAATGAGATTCTGTCCAAAAAAAAAAAAAAAACAAACAAACATCAAAACACGAACAAAAAACGCAGAGGAGTTCCACTTTATCTCTCTCATTCGGGCATCCCAAACTTTCGGCTCCCCGGGAGCCTCGGAGGCACCTGGGCAGGCGGGGGAGGGCATCCCTCTGGGTGGCACCCAGCTGGGAGCCGCACCCAGCGTCGGGACAGGTCGCTGCTCGCGGGTCCCCGGGGCAGACGCGATGTCTCCAGCAGATGATACTCGGCGGGGCGGGGCGGGGCGGGGCGGGGCGGGGCGGGCAGGCCTGGGTCCCGTGTCGCCCCTTGGACACGGGTCCTGTGGTCCTGACCCGACGATCCCCACCGCCTGCCCTGCCATAAATCAGCGATTTTGGCGGCGGGGACCCGGTGACTAGCGCAGCCGGGTCGCCGGGTTGATTTTCAGGCTCCGTCGGGGAGTCGCTAGACGCGGTGCCCCAGAGCCAGCCCTCCCTGTGGCCTCCGCTTTAGGCAGTTGGTGGGAGCGCCCAGCTGCCTTTCTTCCCCGAGCAGTCTTCTGGAGACACGCCCAGGAGGGACACGCAGAGGGCTGTGCCCAGGCCTAGAGCACGAACACAGTCCCCTCTAGCGGCCGGCGTCCACCTTGCCACCTGGATCAACGCGAGCGCAGCACACGCGCCTGGATCTCTGTGGCCTCAGTGGGGACCAGGAGGCAGGACCCCCAGGCTCTGGCTCTTCCTCCACCCCAGGTTTTCTGCCCCTGGCACCTTCCGCTGGAGACCCCTCGCCTTGCCTGCGCCCTGAAAACCCAGAGGCCGCTCTGAAGACCGGCTCCCCCTAGCGGTAGAAAAGAATTCCCGGAAACCCCTGAGTCCACAGAGGCCGAGAGTTCCGAGTTAATTCTTCATTTAAAATGAAAATAAATGTATTTGTTTTTGGTTTTTCCAGACAGGGTTTCTCTGTGTAACAGCTCTGGCTGTCCTGGAACTCGCTCTGTAGATCAGGCTGGCCTCGAACTCACAAAGATCCGCCTTGCTCTGCCTCCTGAGTGCTGGGAATGAGTGTTCCTATGTGTGCCTGTGAGTGTGTGTGCAGGCATGAAGGCCTAAGGTTGATGTCAAGAATCTTCCTCGGGCTGGGCGGTGGGGGCGCACGCCTTTAATCCCAGCACTCAGGAGGCAGAGGAAGGTGAATCTCTGTGACTTTGAGGCCAGCCTGGGCTACAGCCGAGTTCTAGGACAGTAGAGCTTTAGACAGAGAAACTTTGTCTCACAAAACAAAAACCAAACCAAACCAAAAAAATCTTCCTCTATCAGTCTTCAGCTTATTAACAGAATAAGTCTCAGAACCCCGCCCCCCCAGCTGGCTGATCTCTTTGTGGGAAGGGAGGCTAGTCGTTTCCTCTGGGGAGCCTGTGTCTATCTGCCTTGTTTATAGGAGGCCTGTCAAATGTGGGTTCTGGAAACCAGGACTCTGATCGTCTTCATCACACGGGCACCTTCATCCCTAAGCCATCTTCCACAGCCCTCAACGAATGAATTATTATTTATTTATTGTTTTGGAGGCAGGGTCTCATTGAAGCCCCTGGCTGGCCTGGAACCTGCTATATAGATCAGTCTGGGCTTGAACTCAGACATCTGCTTGCCTCTGAGTGCTGGGAATAAAGGCATGTGCCACCACAGCCAGATCAATGAGTTAATTCTTGTTTATTTGTGTCCATTACTTAATTTTGAGTGTTTTTGGAAAGATGTCTCTCAGAGGGGCTGCAGGGATGACTCAGTGGTTAGGAATGCTTGCTGGTCTTGCAGAGGACCTGACTTGGTTCCCAGCACCCACATCAGGCAGCTCATAAGAACCTGTAACTCAAAAAAAAAACAAAACAAAACAAAAAAAAACCTGTAACTCCAGCTCCAAGGATGCCTGTACACACAGACGTGTGACCTACTGCCACCACATACATATAATTAAAAGATAATAAAAATAATTCTTTAAAAAATGATATCCCAGGAAGATGTGGTGGTGCACATCTTTGATCCCAGCACTAGGGAGGCAGAGGCAGGTGGATCTCTGTGAGTTTGAGGCCAGCCTGGTCTATAGAGTGAGTTACAGGACATCCAGGGCTACACAAAGAAACCCTGTCTCAAGAAACCAAATTAAGTAAATAAATTTTTTAGAAAATAAAAATAGACAGGCCATGGTGCTCCATGCTTTTAATCCCAGCACGTGGGATGCAGAAGGAGGTGGATGTTTGTGAGTTCTAGGCTACATAATGATACTCTGCTTTAAAAAAATTTTCAAAACAGACAAAAAACATGCGGTGATTCAAGTTTTCATATGAGGTATTTTCCTCCAAACTCTCTGTAGACTTCAAAACACATTCCCATTAGCTAACTTTCTTCCCTGGGTGTATGGAAGCGTGGTCCCTCTGTTGCTGCTGGCATCCCATAACACCAGTGACATCCCTGAGTCCCTAGTATGTGCTACTCCCCTTTATGAATGTTCTTAAAAGAAAAAATTATTATTTAAAACCTTTTTTTAGTTATTTAATGTGGATGGGGGTTTTGCCTGCACCAATGTGTGTGCACCGCATGTATGCCTGGGATCCCTGGGGGCCAGAGAGGTCATCGGATTCCTTGGAACTGGAGTTCCTGATGGCTGTGAGTCATCATGTGGGTGCTAGGAATCAAACCTGGGTCCTCTGGAAGAGCAGCCAGTGCTCTTAACCTCTGAGCCATCCCTGAGTACATATTTTTAAAGATGGTTTCATGTAGCCCAGGCTAGCCTCAAACTCACCATGTAGTTGAAGGTGACCTTGAACTTCTGCTCCTCCTGCCTCCGCCAGCAGAGTCCTGGGATCATGGGTACGCACCACCATGCCACGCCCAGTTTTACTCAACAGTGGCGGCAGCGGCGGAATCTAGGGTTTCTCTTCCTAGTTAGCTGCACTCCTCAGCCCCATGGTTATTCCTTTCAAGGTTTTTAAAAAAGATTGATTATTTTGGGTTGGAGAGATGGCTCGGTGGTTAAGGGCACTGGCTGTTTTTCCAGAGGTCCTGAGTTCAATTCCCAGTAACCCCGTGGTGCCTCCCAACCATCTGTAATGAGATCTGGCGCCCTCTTCTGGTCTGCAGGCGAAACATTCACTGTATACATAATAAATAATTTAATTTTAAAAAGAGATTTATTATTTTTATTATGTATGTATGAACATCCTGCCTGCATGTATGTATGTTCACTCTGTGCTTGCCTGGTGTGTACCAGGGCTGGCCTTGAACTCACAGCAGTCCTCAGCCTTCCTGCCTCAGCCTCTCGAGCATTAGGATTGTACACCACATTCAGCAAAACGTTGTACACAACATGTATTTGACCTGGCTTTCTTTCTTTCTTTCTCTTTCTTTCTTTCTTTCTTTCTTTCTTTCTTTCTTTCTTTCTTTCTTTCTTTCTTTCTTTCTTTCTTTCTTTCTTT